TGCTGGCGAAACGTTAGGAAACAAAACTTGCAGAACACGGCCACACAGTCCAGAAGACCCACACCAGCCACAGTCCACAGTCTTACTACGGGCCGGCGTTGGATGTTGTTTTTCTCTTTCCCCGGAAGCTGTTCCCCACCAAATTGCGGAAAGATCTAGAATTTTTGACCGGTTTATGACGTAGGGCGGCAGGTTTGGGCTGCCAAAATCCGGACACCGCTGGAGGAGAGCAAAGAGTTGCGGCGAGAGTGGCCTGTATGTCTTGTCCGCCTGTGCTTTTGGCAGCTCTCAGAGACTTCGGGCGCGACCCGCTTCGGACGGCCAAGAAAGAGGAGGAGGATTAGGATTAGATTTTTATCCCGCTTTATATAGGCTGGGCTGGGCTGGGCTGGGCTGGGCGAGAGTGACTGGCCCGAAGTCCCTCAGACCCCTTAAGAGGCAGCCCCGCTGATTTCTGCTGGATCCTCGGTGGCCGTCACTGCCTCTGTCCAACCGGGACAGCGGCTCTTGGTGGGGAGACTAAGGGGCGTCTTCCAATGCGGGAAGCAGCGAATTTTTTTGGAGAATCGCGCTAGGAGAATTGCCGGCACCAACAGTAGCGATGAGGTGGGGAGGAGGGAACATAATATTAATAGAGAGGAAAATGGTTTTGCATTCTGGTTGGTTGTACCTCACCGCTTTGTATCCGTAATGCTAGGCCGAAAAGTGAGTCTCGTGTTTCTGGTGAAAACTAGGACAGTGCTTCGGAAGTGAGACTTCGCCATCATAAAATATACTAATGTGAACTCGGGAAGTAATTATCTTAATGAGATCGTTTAATTTTTTTTCCTTATCTTTTTATTATTTTCTGTCTCCTTCATGATTACTCTCCATCACGACTACTCTCCAGGCAAAAAGGTGACTGACTGGGCCCTTGGCTCTGTCAGAGCGCCGCCTAGTGCAAATGCCGCCTGGCGCAAACCTTGGATAGGCCTGTTTGGTTTGGGTCTGCCTCCCCCCCACGCCCAGTGCCCCAGGCATTTTGGACTACGGATCCCGGGGACCTGATGTTATGACTTGTGGACATTGTAGTCCAGTGTTTTTCAACCTTGGCAAGTTTAAGATGTGTGGACTTCAACTGCCAGAATTCCCCAGCCAGCATGCTGGCTGGGGAATTC